CCTTTTCTGTTTTCTGTTTCTTTTTGGTTCCCTAGTATGATAGCAACTATAAACTGGCCTTACCTTCTTGGGTTTGCCTTTATCTTAAGCTGGCTTTCCTGCCTGGCTCAAGAGAAAGCCTGGTTTTGTTCCTTTCCTTGAAAAGTCGTTACGAATTTCAGGAATTGGCTCAATAGAAGTGCCCCAGCTTTAGGCCCAGAAAAATATTGCTCTCTTGCCATTTCACAGAACACTGTTCCCTGCAAGTGGTCTAATGCACACTCATATCCTTTAAATTTCCTCTGAAACATCTCAGGCCTCTGCCTATACCACTGCTTCATCATTACAAACCATTCTCCTCCAGGCACTAAAACCCCCCTGTTTTACCTTCTACAGTTAATGATACTTATCTTTCCACTAGAAGAGCATGTTACCCCTTTATAATTCTCTTTCTCTTATTATCTCTATCCCTTAATATTACTACATGCCACTATTAGTTCTTCTTTTTTTCTGAAATGAAGTAAATGTCAACCATTTTAAAGAAATAAAAACTCAAAACACCTCCCTTCTACAAATGAAAAGAGCTCTAGTATTTTTTAAAATAGTATTTTGGAATGAGAAGATATTGTATCATGACATGATTAATTAAAGTTTTAGCATATTGCGATGCATACTGGCAATACTGAGAGAGAAAAATTTATAATTTACATGCAGGGTAATGGTCCATATGGTCAAGGAATTTCTTAAGAGTGTCTGTGATTACTGCTTTGATTTTTTCTTAAATATGCTACTAACCAGTGAAAATAAAATTATATTAAATTTAACATTATTCATTTTTTCTCTCATTATGGCTAGATCTCAATCTCCAGTCCCAGTGCTAGCACTGATATAAATGTTAAGAAAATTGCTGGTGTTAGTGATGTCTGTGAATCTATGAAGCAACAACTTTTGGTCCTGGTGGAATGGGCTAAATATATTCCAGGCTTCTGTGAACTACCACTCGATGACCAGGTATAAGAGGAGAACAAAGAGAAAACTCTAATTACTGCTCAGTTATTCCTGTGATATTTAAATGTCAGGATGAAGCACTCATTCTTTTTTGTCTGAACAAACAGAGCTGAATAAACCTATCCTCTTATTTAAGTTGTACAGTAACACCACCATAACAGAAAAGACATGAACAAAAAGAAACAGCAAGGAAGCATGGCTTTAAGTGTTTTGTTCTTTCTGTAGTGTTTTGGAAGCACAACTTTTTCTGACCTTAAAAAGTATTTTTTTCATATTCACCTTTCATTATAATATGGTATAAAACAGCAGGTTATTTAATTTGAAGCAAGTCTTCTCTACTTGCAAAAACCAAAAGCAATTAGAATCTCAAACAAATTCCAAGTGATATCAGTTCATAGCAAATAATCTTTTATGCAATACAATGTATTAAAATTATATTGTATATAATAAATGTAAGGAAAACACCAAATCTTGAAAATGCATAAGAGTTTTTTTGTGACAGAGGTCTGATCTAACATCACATCACTAAGCTGTGCTGGCAAACCCAGAACCAGAATCTCCACATTGTGGGAATCAGTTCTCCAACAAGCAGCCTCAGAAGGAGATTAATTCATTGCTTGGGATCTCTTGATTCCACACCAAAATCTGATTAATCTTGAAAATCACTCTGTGAACTAGAATAGTGGAAATACTTATTTTGCTTCTTGAGTCCCCCAGTTTTTTAACAAAATCCTGCAAGTGTTAGGTTATCCTTCATTTGGACTGAATCATTGCCCTTTTTATTGTTCCTCAGGAATATGGGTATGTTTCAGGCCACAGGAAACTCCCCAAAAAAGAAGTTAAATGAGTTAAATTATGTGTTTGCAGACCAACAGAGCACATTTCTCACAAGCTCAACATACTTGAATAAGTTTAAACTGTTCATGTGAAGAAGAATTTCAAATATCATTACTACAAAAGGGCAACAAAAGCAAGCAAAAAAAATTGCTTATTTTATTCTTAAGATAGTATGGAGGAAAAGAGAAGTTATAAAATATCCTTAAAATGTTCCTATCTGCATTTAAAAAATAAAATATCATCTTAGAATGATAGGCTGAAAACACCCCTGTTGTGCTTGAAGAGTACATGTTGGAAAATACTCTGAAACCTTTAGTACATTAGAAAAATAGGGACAAATATGTTGAGAAATAAAACAAATGCCACTTTTTAATTTGTGATAGCTAGTTTCTAAGGGGAATTGTGCATTCAGTTATGAAATAAGCCATCTGGTTTTCAAAAAAATTATTCCTGGTATGAGAGTAGCCTGATTTGCAAACCACAGAGGAGACCAAAGCAGCTAAGGTAACTCTACTGAGAACCTGAAATCCTAACACATAAGTATTACGCAGGTGTTGTGTACCTTTATATCTCTCCTAAAATGACTGGCTTGGATTAGAATTACTTGTCAAGAGATGAGTTCTTTCAGGAAATAAAGGCCATTGCTGACATTTCAAGCAGACATTAAAACTAGAGGAAATAGGTGACTAATACTAAACAAATAAACAGAAGTTCCTTCCTAGTACAAATTGGAATTCCTCTTTGTGGACAATAGTGGTGCTGTTAGCATATCTGGCTTTGTTTGGAAGAAGCTGTTTTAAGTGTTGCATAAATTTTTGGTTCAAGAGAAAAATTAAACACTGATAGAACCAAATTTACTGTAACAGTTCATTCCAGCCCACTGGAGTATTTAGTGTCAACTTAAAATGCCAGAGAAAACTTTGTCAAGGGAATACACACTAGAAAATAAATGCAGGTAGTATATTTATTGAGAAGTATTTTGCAGATCCTGTTGTTTAAAATCTAGACAGAATGCTAGATATGACAGAGATGACAATTTAATTAGAAAGTGCTGTTTTTATGGTGTTCAGATTTTTGCATACATTTTACATTTTACATTGGAATCTTAACAGCCTTCAACATATATCTAACACATAGTAATATGTATCCTTTTTTCATTTGCTCTTATTGAAACTTACTGCTTTATCATCTAATGAGTCTGTTGGTTGTTTTGTGAGGTTGCCCTGCTAAGAGCACATGCTGGGGAGCACCTGTTGCTTGGAGCAGCAAAACGGTCCATGGCATATAAGGACATTTTACTTTTAGGTAAATATTGATTTTGTTTTACTTACTGATGGTGTTATAGTACATTAGCAATGGTGTAGTCACTTAAGTGGGACAACTGTTCTGGCACAATCAAAGCAATGCATTCTGTAAATGCTAAATAGCTATTAATGACATAATGTCACATGCCTGTTCTAGCAAAAGGAGCTGGATGGTTTCATGTGGGTTAATGCAGGTAAAGGTATATTGAATAGCAGAAACCAAAATTTAAGGGAGTTCCTGGCAATTGCCTCCTTACATTATTGTCCTTTCTCCACCCTTTCCCATTAAAAAATGGAATAAAATTACACCACAAAAACAGTGTAAAAACCCCTTTGCTTAGGAAAGGGGTATGCACGTGTACTACTATCAGTTTTCATGAAAACTATTTATCTGGAGCTTTCTCAGGAGTCCTTCAGACTCAGAGAAGACTCTATTGGCTGGAATATTAGATAGCATGTTACCTGCAACTCCCTTTCTCAAGACCTCTCTCACCTGTTCCTGTACAGTCCCCATATGGCTACCATGTAAACACCATTCCTGCTGTCCTGCTGCGTGGCAGATGGGTGCACCACGGCACAATGCCGAGGCACGCCTGCAGGAGCGCATTCTTGGTCAGCTCAGATGTCTCCTGTGTTGGGCTGTATAAAGGGACCATGGCTGTCAGGGAAGAGGATGTTGTCACTGACGGAAGCATGTCTTCTAGTTCATGCAACTGAGAGGACCAGTTGCAAAAGAGTGGAGAGTGATGAGATGGAGCATTTGTTAACCTTGTTTGACACAGTGCTCTTCATTCTGAAGTGCACTCTGCCGAAAAGGGCCTCATTAGACATGGTCAGCATTGGGGTTGTTTCCTGAGACAGGCTGTTGGTCGTCTGGGACAGGATTTTTGATGGGCTATATGGAATACGGACTCAGACTTGTCTCTTCACTGGTGGTGTGGTACAAGGACATTTCCTACTACTTGTTCTCCTTCCTCTTCGGGCCTGCCTTTTTATAGATCTGAATTAGCTTGAATTTATTTTTACACATATTAAAACATTAAAAGGACAAGAAGGGCTTGGTCTGAAGGTATTTCTCTCACCAGCAATCTTTTCAAGATAAAAGCTATACAATGTCTTTCTTAAGGTACTTATTTCCCTAAATATAGTTTTGCTAACAAAATTAACAGAAACTAAGAAAAAATAAATTTGCAATTTTATTCGGATTAGTAACAAGATAAAAGGAAAAAAAAATGATAAAATAATAGTAAGAAAATTATGTATCATAAGCATCAGCAGATATACCAAAAGAAGAAACAATTTGAGGTTTCAAGGCTTGGTTTTGATACTTGGAGGCAGATATCTGTTTTTTGAGTAATTTTGACATAGATCGCTTGTGATATAATTATCAGTTTTTCTTTCAAAAAACTGCATGGTGACTTCTGAAAGCTCCATGATATTCCTAGTATTCTACAGAAAGTGAATTAAGATACCATCATGGAGACCTCCAAAATTGATATTTTTTTAAAAAACCCAAAACCCAAAAAACTCTAGGTAAAATTATTTCTTAACTGAAAATTTTACTATGCTACTAAATTTTATTAGGAACAACAGAAACATCCTTTAGAAAAAAAAGTGTCTCCTCTTGCCTATTGTCAAATCCTTGCCATTCAGTTGGGATATATTATTTTAATCAGGGAAGAAGACATTTCAAGATCAATACTTTGGTATATTTATCTGTTATTTAAACATAAAGGTCTACTTGCTTCACACTAGTACCTTCAAATACCAACCTTGGTCCTGTGGACTAATCAGTAACTGCACGTTGGCATACTTATATGTGCAGAGTATTTACTGGGGGACAGCTATAATTTGCACTTATATACTCTGCAAAGAAAAGTTGTGTGTGATGTAAGGGAGAGTTACTACTTTAAAAAATTAACTTGATCAAGCAATATGAAATATACTTTTGGAAACTGGCTTCATCTAGTACATTACATCAAAATGTTTCTATTAATTAATATGTTGATATTCTTTCTCTCTAAGGCAACAATTACATAATTCATCGCAACAGCACTGAAATGGAGATCTGCCGAGTGGCAAATCGGATTCTGGATGAATTAGTTCGTCCCTTCCAGGAAATTCAAATAGATGACAATGAATATGCTTGCTTGAAAGCAATTGTGTTTTTTGATCCAGGTATTTTTACAAAAGTATCTCTCAATTATTTTACATGTGATTTTATTGAAAGTTTTTTATTTAGCATCTGTTCATGTTATCTAGCTGCATGGAAAACAATAAAATGAAAAACAGTAAGATACTCCTCCCAAATCGTAATATGCCTTGACTTTAAGTTTTTGTCCTTTTTTAAGATGCAAAAGGTTTGAGTAATCCATTGAAGATTAAGAATATGCGATTCCAAGTCCAAATCAGTTTAGAGGATTATATTAATGACCGTCAGTATGACTCCAGAGGAAGATTTGGAGAACTTCTTCTTCTACTGCCTACACTCCAAAGCATCACTTGGCAAATGATTGAGCAGATACAATTGGTTAAATTATTTGGAATTGTTAAAATTGACAGTTTGCTTCAGGAAATGTTACTGGGAGGTAAGCTAACAATTTGTTAAATTTACCATCTAGTATTATGTTGAATTTAGCATGTTGGGATGTTGAGGGAATCCTGATCTAAGCTAGAACTCTTCACTGTCTGAGCTTTGTGTTTTGTATTTGTTAGGTAAAGCCTTCTTGTCTTGGCCGTTCATGTTGTTAACTTAGTCTTATAACAACAGATTTTGTATGTACTTCTCAGTAACTACTAGGTTGTCCTACAATTTCATAGGCAGATGAAAGAATCCTTAGAAATGTTTCATGAAACACACTGTTATTGCAGTCAAAACAGTGAAAATAAACACAGTGTTTAATATGCTTGAAGTCTGCTTAAATTGTTTAATGAATACCCAGAGGCAATTATTCAAATTGCCAATCAAAATATTTACTCTGTGGAAATGTAATAACTGAAGTATAACTCACTGGCAACAACGTGCTCGTTTGCATTGATATATGCTCATGCTATTTTTGCAGGTACTTCTAATGATGCCAGTCATCTGCATCATCCAGTGCATCCTCACTTAGCCCAAGATCCATTAACTGGCCAAACTGTCCTCATAAGTTCAATGTCTGCTCCTGTACATGCGGAACAGATATGTAAGTAATTGCAAGTTAGCATTCTGTCATAACACTTCACTGTTTCATTTCATAATATTAATTAGCATGGTGGCCTGTCAGTGTTCATAGAGCTATTTCATCATCATACTTAAATTAAAATAATTGTTCATTAAAAATGTATGCATATAAATAGTGTTAAGTAATAAACTTTGACCTGAATTTAATTTAAAAATTCAGCTCCATTCTGATATATCATCGTTTTTACATGCACAGTCTTTAATAAACTAAAAATTTGATCATTAAAATATCCTGTTTCCCTAGCATGTCGAGACACTCTCTTTCCCAAGTATGCAACAGGACTCCCTTTCAGTGCAGTAGTGTATATATGTAGAGTAGACCAGACTATAAAAATATATAATTATTTCTATGGGTTTTTTTTCAGCAACTCCAGAAACTCCATTACCTTCCCCTCCACAAGGCTCTGGACAAGAATACAAAATGTCTGCAAATCAAGCTTCAGTCATTGCACAACAATCTATTTTGAAACAAAAACCATTGTGATATTTTTATCTCTGTCTCATCCTTTCTTCATTCCCTTCCTTCCCTTCCTTCTATTCCTTTTCATGCACTAGATAAATTGGTAGAAGACTTGCACATTTAAAATCTCAGGTTGATAAAGGAAATTATTTCCTCAGCAGCCACTACTAAGTGGATGCTCCTTAAAACACCTCATGATTTGAAAAGTAATGCTGTTCTGACTACTGCATACAACTGTAACTGTGGACGCTGCAGTCTGACAGATATGTATAGAAGTAGATATTATTTTTAGATCTTATAAATGCACAGATTCATATTTTTATTTCCTGTTTTAGTTGTCTTAATATTTTTGTTTTAGATGTGTATATAATTTTTTTCATTGTAATGAAACTGCTTAGTGCTTGTTTAGCTGTGAATTGTAGATATGAAAAAGTGGGTTATTCAGGCAAAAGCCAAGATTCCATTAATAGTAGAATATTAGGCTACCAAAAAAGCACATGAATTGAAAAAAAAGGAAAACATACTTAGTGGACAGAAAACCCCAAATCCTGATTTAAAAGGACCATCTCTTTCAAGTAAAATTTCAACAAAAGCATTGAATCCTCCCTGCTTAACAGTTTGTATGAAGCAGAAGGCCTGCCTGGGTGAATATGCTTGAGGACTTCTTAAAATCTATATATAGAACATATATAGATATTATGTCTATATATAGTCAATTGGCCAGTGCTGAAGCATTTATATTGATAAGTACTTAGAACAAGGACTGGTAGGCTTTTTGGTCTGGACTAACTAGTACTTTCCCAAAATATTTATGAGCACACTTTGGGAATTAGGCCAGTCTAGGGACACTTTTCACCAGGTTCTTTGAACACTTCCCTTCTCTTTAAGAGTACAGAGAGTATCACAGAACCACAGAATAAACTGAGTTGGAAGGGACCCACAAAGATCATCAAGTCCAACTCCTGGCCTTGCATAGCACGGTCCCCAAGGGTTGTCCAAATGCTTCAGGGTTTTCTGTGACCACTTCCCTGGAGAGCTTGTTCCAGTGTCCAACCATCCTCTGGGTGAAGAACCTTTTCCTACTATCCAACCGAAACCTCCCCACACAACTTCAGGCCATTCCCTTGAGTCCTGTCTCTGTCAGCACAGAGAAGAGATCAGTGCCTGCTCCTCCTCTTGCCCTCACAAGGAAGTTTTAGACTGCAATGAGGTGTAACTAGGGCCATGTTATTTGACCTCAGGGCAAGAGGACACTTTGTGATGTTTGGTTTACTAGTGTAAGAGTAGCCATTGTGTTTATTTGTCTGACTGGGTGGTAAATGCATGTTTCAGCAATCAGTAAAATTCACCCACTGAAAAGTTGTAATTAATGTAGTAGTTCTGTGTTTGGGGAGTTATGACTTACTAATTGCAGTGCCTGAGTTCAGCTCCAGGTGTTCCTGGTTTGAGCCATGGTATTTCAAGCCAGAAGGCAGCCAGAAGACAGCACACCCTCTCAATTCACATACTCATCCTCTCAATGTCTAAGTTTTCAGAAGCATGCAATGACTTGCTTTTCTGTGATAAGCCCCTTTCTCCACCTCTTCCTCCCCTTCCAGTCTGGGGATCAAACCTTGACTAGGCTTTGTGTCTGGAGTCCATAACAACCCATCTGGATTTGGACTCTCTGTGAATTTGCACAAAGTGAACCTTGTGACACATGCTCACTTGGGGCATTTATACTACTCAGTTACAATTTGTGAAAGTAATCTTTTATGATATATGAAGTGATATGTTGTTCATACGATACTAGCATCATAAGAAAATTGCCACTTCACATATTGTATTTATTCCAGACAGCAATGATTTAATACTTTAAAGCAGACTTTCTACCAGAAGATATGTAAGAGAGAAACACACAAAAAAGAGATAATAATATATTGCAGTTTGCAAAGAGAAAACATAGTGGAGTCAGAAATTCTTCAAGGTGAGATGTTGATCATTCTGAATCAGACACCTTCATTAATCACAGCATCCAGAGATGGTGCAGTGCCACCCTTGGCTTGTAAAAGTTGCTCAAACAATCCAGAATGATTCTTCAAATACATTTTTGTAGGCAGGAAATGCAACACAGAAAATGCTGAACTGACCTGAACATTCAAAAGGCTTTAATGAGAATGCACCTACCACCATGTAGACACTGTGTTTCTTTGTAATTTTAAAGTAGTTGCTTTTGTAAAGACTGTATACAGTAGCTATTAATGTTTGCCTTTCGCTTTTGAGATCCTTTTCCTTTTTGCTGTTTACTGTTTGGTTTTTTTTTAATGCATTGCTCTTTTTACAAGTTCCTTATAATATGAGTTTTTATGATAGAATAAGGTACTGAGGTTTTGCCATTAACTTTAAGGGTATCCAGACTCTGCTTTTTTTACAAGTTGCCCACCAATGCTTTACAGTGATACACAAAGGTAGAACAAGTGTGAGAGATACTGAGCAGCCAAAAAGTTTACTGATTTGGTTCAGATTTGTGTACTTATCATAGAAAGAGTGTTGGACTCTAGGTGGATCCGCATGAATTTACTGCGTCAGATAAATGAAGTCAACTATATGAACATGGCAGTATTGGTCTGACTAAAAACATATAATTGGAAATAAAGATCAGTCCCCAGGCTGGCCACCCTTGCCTTATATAAAAGATGTGCATAATACCTTACTTTATTTTTCACGGTGAACTTTAAATATCAAGTGTACAATAAAATGTTGTCACACACTGCCAAAATGTACTGGAGGAAAAATATACTTTAGTATTTTGTCTGACAAAAAGCTGTTGTCTATTTTGTACAATATATTACATTTTTGAATAAGAACACCACTGTAATTTATTGGGAAAAGCTGATTTATTTTATAAATGCAACATTATTTTTGTAAACTTAATTATGAAAAATCAGAAATGATTAGTGCTGTTAAATATTAAATTATAATGAAATGTAACTTTATATGTTTGAACTCTGATACCAAGTTTTTGTATTGAGCATTTGGAATTGAAATGGTTGCTGGAAATATTTCAAATGGACTGTTTTTCATCAAAGCTCAATAAAGAAATATGAATGATCCAAATGACATATTTGCCTTTTAGTATTTTTTTTTTTACTATTTACATAAACAATGAGAGTGGTTTATATTCCTTACACAATGAATAAGTATATAACTAACATGCTTTCATCTCTACAGTGTTCACAGCATCACAGAATGGCTGAGGTTGGAAGGGACCTCTGGAGGTCATCTAATCCAACCCCCTCTGCTCAAGCAGGATATTGAAATCATATGAAAGAATCTGATGGTGACATTTTAGTTGATTCTTCTGTAACATGGCAAAGTATTACATAGCTATGGTCTTCAGTTTTTACTTCTGACTCAGAACAGAACTGAAGCACATGCTTAATTCCATCTGTGTTTAAAATTAACCATATGTTCAACAGTCTGGTTTTTTTGGACAGGGATAACTTAAGAAATCACTGCCTTTGCTCCAGTGCATTGTTATTTAGAAAAATTTAGGTGCAATTTGATAGAGATATTGTAAACTTTAGAATTACTCTTTACAATATTTTTTTTTTTTAGATAACCAGTATTTCCTCTGTCTTGGAAATTATGTTCAGTTGGATGTCTCTTTACTAGATTTTGAATGGAAATGGGGTTAGGTTGTTAGTTAGTTTGTTTATTTTGGGTTTTTTTTGTTGTTTTGGTTTCTTTTTTTGTTAGTAGTAATAATACAATGATTTGGGCTGCTTACTTTTGCTGAAATGGGCTCTACTCTGGAGTGCAGAACTACAGGGAAAAGCTGCCATGGAGACTCCATTTTGAATGCTGGAGATCTTCTGGTGCTTCTGAGGAACTTTAATCAATGGCTGATTATTTTACATGCAGGAAACCTGTACTTATGAATGATGACTGGGGTGTAGGAGGTTTATGATTTTAGGGAACTAAAAGAGTTTTTTTTTTTCTCAGTCTACAATGAAAGAAATATGGAAACTCCCTTACAATTCTATGCTGTGAAGTGCTGACAGAGTATTTTTCAAGATTTTAATAAATCAGCTTTACAAGTAGCCCCAACAGGTGAATTAGGAGTATTTGTTTTACAGAAAGAGATAGATGAACTAGCTTTCAGTTCTAATCATTATCCAGAATTTCTCCCAACTAAGGAATTCTGAAAGTGAGCAAAGATATTTACTGTGCTCCAGTCATCTTCTGTGACAGGAACTTTAACGTTCACAGAATGTAAGAGAATTTGTTATAATTCTTTGTTTTATTCATATACTTGGAAGTTCTGCTTTTACCTCAAGGATGTCTGTCAGTCTGTGATGGCCTAACATTTTATTATGTCTTTCAACAGACTATTTCTAGTTGTGTACCACCATTTGTGATATTTATGCTAAAGTATATAATAAAAAAATACTTAGATCCACATTTTAATAAAATTAAAATAATTAATTGGTTTGCAATTAATTTTTACATTTTTATATTTGGCTTGATAAAGATGCATTAGCTTTCTTCTTTCCCTTTATTCTCCCTAGGAATAAACAAGAAATGGAAAAAAAATATTTATCACTAAAATTAGTGTTACAATGGGAGCAATGCAATTGCACTTCTCTTTCTTCTGTTGTTTTTCTAATATGAAGATAGAGGAGATGGTTGACATCAATCACTGCTTTCTTTTGATTCCTTATTTTCTTGTGGAAAATCCAAGTATTTTCATTAATTGAATAGTCTACGTGTAAATAAAAAGCCTTCTATGAAGCCAAAAGCTATATTTGATTGAAGAGGGGATTAAAGGTACTCAATTGCAGGAATATATTTTCAAAAATTTATTTCATAAAAATTAAAAGGTATGCCTGATTTCTAAATGAAAACATAAATATTTCTATTAAAGGGTAAGAAACTTGAAGACATAATCAAATGTAAAGATTCTTCTATAATGACAGTGAAAGAGAACTTACATTTTGTGTCACCAACTATAATAATTTCCTTTTGAATACCACCTAAACAGGATGGGCAAAATCTCATCAAGACATATGCCTAGCCTAACATGTTTTTATGACAATGATCTCTATTCCTTAATATTGTGGTGGAGCTATGATTGCTACTGATATTATGCAGTTCACCTGAATCAGGTGTTAGTCAAAGATGTCATGTTGATCCTAGA